AGGATTTAAAAATTGTCAAAGTTGAAATTTATAATAAAAATATAGTAAGTAGACTCAAACTTTTGGAAGCAACTGTATATAAATTGGATTATTTAATAATCTCGAATTTTTTTAGCTTCTTAATCACAAGTAAATCTATATATAGTGTATAATCAAACTTTTTGAATTTTATTTATGTAATATAAATATAGATAAATTTTTCAAAACAAAAGTAATTTATATGAAATTTTAATATATAAATAATATATCTTAACAAATATATATACAGTAGGGGATGAAAAAAATTGCTTAAATTTTTTAAAAAATTAAAATTTTTATTATAATGTAAAATTTATTTATTTAAAGAATATAAAAAAATATTAATATAAATATTTTAGTTTTATAAAATAATTTTTAATTAAAATTTGTATATAATATAAAATTTTTTAATTAAAATAAAAATATAATATAATAATAATAATAAAAGTTATAAAATAGTCTTAAGTAAAATTAATTTTTAGGTATTTAAGTATTTATATTTTAAGTTTAATTTGATTTAAATATTATTTACTAAGTTAAATATATTTGAAAAAAGGCAATTTTTTCTGTCTCCTACTGTATATATAGTATATACAGTATAATTTTTAAAAGTAAAATAAATTTTTAATTCAATCTTATTTTTTCAATTACTTGTTGATAAAATTGTTTTTCAAAAAATAGGATCTCTGCTCAATTTAAAAAAATATTGTAGCTTGAAAAGTTAAACAACATGATATTATAGACAAAAAACAATCTATTAAAATTGATTTTATGAAGATACATTTTTCTTTTTTTTAAAGTACTGTAAATATGAAATTGATTTTTTAAGTTTTATTTATTTAATTTAAATAAATTTATTTTTTTTTTTTGATATTTAAAATTTCAACGGTAGAATAAATTCAAAAGACCTATCTATGGCATTCTTGAATTATAATCAATAAACTTCAAATAAGAATAATTGGATAATAATTTATGGATAAATTTAAAAGTAAACTCGTTTTTCAACATAGGAGGTTTATTGAACAATATTTTTCGTAATTTGAATTCAGAGGTAATATTAAAGATAACAAAGGGACCAAGAAATGCTATTGTGCAATTACAGAATCTCATAATTATGCTTTTAAAAACTCAAACCTACGTTCCGAACATACAGTAAATCGGTTAGACATGCTTGCCTCGCAAAATTTAGCATGGTAGACAATGGTATTTCCGTATTTAATACATCGGTCATGCGTCAACTCCTGCATCAGGATTAATTTGGGGTTTCCTTACGTCATTTTCTCGGAAATAGGTCTCGGCAGTACGTCATCCTGCATTAGCATGCGCAATCCCGTCAATGGGTTGACTCAATGTGGTTTCTCCAAGGATTCATCAAGTTTTACTCTAGTTCACCATAAAATTTAGGTAAGTTCGGTACGATACAGAGTTACGATAAAACTCCTTTGTTTCTTTTTTCTTCCTAAAAATACCCGACCCTTGTTGAAAGTGTGACCCTTTAGATCAAAAAGGCGCCGTTTTTGTATTTTGAGGAACAACGGTATTCAGCTTGATCTTGGGAATCTATTGAGAATTTTCATTGTTTCCAAAGAAAGTCTTTCTGTTGATCTTGTGCATTTCATGATTCATAAGATCAGCCACTCATTGTCATTCGGTCGGTTCCACTAGGCTGATTACAAAACAATAAGTAAATTTCTAGTAAATTTTATAAACTTAGGAATTTATTGTGGCAGAACAAAACTAGTAATCAGAACGAGAGGGCGTCTCATACAGTATGTTATGATAAGGTAGGATGCATTCATTCTTCAAACGTGATTGTCTTAAGTAATATCCTACAAACGCACGTGTTATATTTCATGCACAGGTGGATTGGTGTGCTTTTAATTCTACATTTAAATATTGACCACGTCTTATCAAGGAACAACCAACTCCCGCCTGGCCATCCGGTAAAAGTAATCAGCAGGCATTTGACCAGCTTAATTCGGAAACAAAAATTTCAGCCCATGCAGTTAATTTTCGGAATGACTATTCACACTCTTGCGCATCTGATGCTTTGGCGTGATATCACAGGCATTATTTTTCTAGGGCAATTTTCCCCCATTTGAGTAGCAAGCACCCTTTACTATGCCACATACTGTCCGTATGTATGACAACGCAAGTGTCTATTCCTACGACTCTGCGGTCCAACCTAAAAAATTGGGAAACAATACCTTACTCGCCTAACCTTTGTTTCTTTGTCGGTTGGTAGATCTTCCTCTCGAGAACATCAATCCGATTGATAAACGAACAATAGTAATCTGTAAGTTGCAGAGAACTATCGACAAAAGAATTGTTCTTTGCTTGTTGTTTGAAATTAGTAAAATACCAAAACTGCATGAAAATGCAAGGGTTTAGTGAGTGTCTGTGTAAATGTTTGTGTGTTAGCATGAGGTTGACAGTTTAAGCCTTATATTACACATTGCTGATGATTAGATTAACACGCGCATTCCTTCACTTCAGACATTACACGCATTTACTCAATCGATTGGTGTAGTTTAAATGAATTTTGTAAGTACAAATTTGGTATTCACAATCGAAATAGACTAGCGCGAGAATCAATATTCATTCCGACTATGAAAGGTTAAGGGGAAAGAACTTTATTTACGATAAGGCATGTATAAACATAGGTTGCGTACAATGGTACGAATACTAAGACGGAGTTTATTGCTTTTGTTTAGAAGGAAAGGGTGTTGTCGATTGATCGGAGTATGGTGCGAAATATGTTACTGTACTTGTTATTAATTCATTTCATTTTCTATTTAAAGTCACGGCTTATCTTGTATGAATGTAAAGCTGCCGTGACTGATAAACCAAAAAAAGAAAACAAGGGAAATACAGTATGCGAACAGTGTCGGCCCATATCATTTAGCTTCTTCCGTAAACAATGTACGTATATTGCGACATACGCGTGTGATCCATGAAATGCATTGCAAATACACGAAGGAATGTTTCTGCATCGTCATAGGATTTTTTTTTTTTTTACCCACACCCTGCATATTTTTAAAGGAGTCTTTTCTTTTCTTTTTTCTTTTTTTTTTTTTCCTTGCATCGACTCAGCCTAGATTTTTAAGATTACGCGTGCATAATGATTTGAATCACACGTATCACATAGTTTGAAGAAATGGAATTGAGTGATAACACACATGGGATGGCAGAAATGAGGTGAGAAAAGAAATATACAATGACACGAATTTAAACCACGCTATTTCAAAAAGAACGACCCGTTTACATAGGATTGCCCATACTCAATGAAAATTAAAAACACGCGGATAAACTAGCATGTGGCTTAGACTTAATAATTTTAAAACTTACTAGATTGAGGTTCAAAATCTCGAGATAATTGATTATCATATAACCTAACTAATTATGTTTTAACAGCGAGGCACGAGAAAAACAAACAAACATGCACATCTCAATGTAATCCCGAAGCTAGGTCATTCATTACCTTCGAACGTAATCTTCTAGGGCACAAAGAAAAGTTCACTCGGCATCCGTTATTTGCAGTATTTATTCTTTGTTTTTCTTATTTTAAAAAATTTATATTATTCATTATTTTTATCTAACGCAAAACCGATGACCGATATTGCATTATCATCATCACCATTCACCACTTTTTACAAGTTTTTATCTCTTCGCACGAGATCCACGACTTTCCTTTTTCAAGATAATGAATACGATCGAGTCTATGCCTCATGATCTGCGCAAAGTCTGAGCGTACATACGCACAAGCTCCTTGCCAGGTTTTATCCTTAGAGATGCACTTGAAATAATGGTTTACGTATTGCATATATTTTAATAATGAGTTCCTCGACTTTTAGTATGGATGTTCGTATTTAGACTTTAAAAATGTTCGACTTTATTTCGAGCTACAGACACCTTCATCACATGCCACATGCGATCGTTTCTCAACTCTCTGCCGAAAATAAGTGGGCTCGACAATAAATCAAACAAACAGCTGTTCAACATTAACATTTCGTCAAGTCGCTTTCTTTTTTCATATAAAATTTTACTCCTACACTTTGTGTTGACTAATTGGCACAGGTGATGACATGCATGGCATCATACTACGTTCCCCGCATTTTCCTTTATTAGAAAAGCACCAAAATTGACATGCGCACGAGATAGTACACTTTTACTTTCGAGACAATCGGAATTTGTATGCTATTGTCTATTTTCTTAGTGATATTTATGGAGTTAGCATGTATCTTGAATGATTATGCTTAACTTCGATGGACGTACATACATTTGGGTTTAATGTACTGTACTGTACATGTATATTAATAAGGTATGATATTTAGACAAGACGCTGAGCGGTAAAATAAAGCAACCCTATGCATAATGTAGCAAAATCCAGTAGGTTAAAGCTTATTATTGCCAAACTTGCGTGATTTTTTTACAATGTCATGGTTAGATTAAAATGAGGATTAAGATCAGATCCTCGGGCAATAATTTCCAATGATCGATTGCTTTCATTTATTCCTCTTAAACCTTGATGCATCCTATAATAATAATAATAATAATTATTATTATTATTATTATTATTATTATTATTATTATTATTATTATTATTACTAGTTTTTTTTTTTTTTATCCGGAAATATTCCGATAAGACGGTCGGTGTGGAAATCTGTTGGATCGGAAGGAAAATAACGTCTTATAGTATATTTAAACCAACTCTTACCTCTATTAATTTACCCACGATTTTTACGCACACATAGTAAACGTGCTATATAAATTATTACTTGATTATACCTATATTAGGTTTAATCTTAAATGCACGATATGGTTTTAATAGGCCGCAAGATTACGTAACCATTTTTGTAGAATAATAAAATAAAGTGATGTGACTCGTCTAAAATGGTGTGATTATTTAATCTCAGGAAGGAGCCGGCAAAAAATCATGTAATCACACCTATTCAAGTCGAACCTATTTACTGGAAGATTAACTTAATGAGTAGAATTTCTCGGTAACTGGCGTTTGATTATCATGCGAACAATCATTTGATGTTTCGCAATAAGATATTATTGAGCAGCGATTTTACAGGTTGAAAATTCTATCCATTAGTTTTCTATGTGAAACCTGGTTAGATGAAATTTTCAAAAAAGGACGTCCATAAAGGATGAATACGTGTGTATGCAAACAAACTGTACTGATTTAGTTAGTCACACGACAGCCCTAACGCCATCTCATGACAAATAAGATTACAAACATCTCCGCTCTCTCTTCTCCTTTTTTGTGAGGAAGTCCTATTTAAGGAAAGTTATAAGGCGGGGCACTCTTTCATCACATGTTAAACCTTTGGTTTTAATAAAAAGTGAAACTATTTATATTCATCCCTATTATAGCATGAAGGTCAATTTCATACTAACGCCTCAAGCTATGCGTAACATCTCACCTTGTAAATAATTTGATCGTTTGGTGGAAAATTTTGGCAACAATAGAAATTTGTCATCAAACGTCAAATGGCTCTTTGACGCTGCAATTCGAAACAAATTTCTATTGTCCATCCGTAAGGTTAATTTTAAGTGGAACCTGTCAAAAGCTACCTGAAACAATGCATTTTGGAAAAATCTCCATGATCCCATTCTAAATTGCAATATAAAAACTGTCAAACTTCACGGAACCATTTATAGATGATATTTCCAAGTGTCATGGTAAGGGCTTTTTGTATCACGGACTCGAGTAAGATTTTACTTTACGTCTTTAATGACGGATGTATCCGTCAAAGATGCTGTCACAAATAACTCGGGCCAATTTTTGTAATACGGGCCGCTCAGTCACGTGATATATGCAGTCGTCAAATTATCCATGTCGAAAGTTACTGTATATTGAAGGATACCCTTTTGTAGTCAGGCGAACTGGGGGCATGCTCAAAATGAATGATGAATAAATAAATTGTTTAAACCAAACTAATTAACAAATCTTATAAGTTTGATAATAATTAAAATACACATTAATTATCTAATTGACCCTTAAAATTAATATCTCAAGCATCGTTTTAATTCTGTAAAATCGTTTTCCGATTTAAGAATAGTGATGATAAGTTTAACTCGATTGTTATTATTATTATTATTATTATTATTATTATTATTATTATTATTATTATTATTATTTATTCACAATTATATAAAATCTATTATTATATTATTTTCAAAATTTATTATTACATTATAAAAAATAATTATATCATTAATATTATAAACTAAGCAAATTATCATATAAACATATATATATTTTTCAAAAAAGTAATGATTATCATATATTTTATTTTTTATTATATTAAAAAAAAAATTTTTTTTTTAATTCTATAATTAAATAAAATATAAATTTTATTTATTAAATATTAAATAATATATTTATTGATTCTTATTTTGATAATTGCTTTTATTTAAAAAGTCAATAAACTATAAAAGGCAACAAGTTAAAATTATATAAATATTTAAAATCATTTAATAATTCGTAAAGTAAAAACGAATTATTAATTTATTTTTATTCAATCATTAACAATTTATTTATTAAAAATTTCAATAATTTATTATGTAAATAAATATTAATTATTTTATTATTATTATTCTTTATTTATCTTTATTTTAAAAGTTGAATTAATCTTTTAAGTTTATATTATATAAATTCATATTATACAGTATAAACTTATTAAAAAAAAAATTTTTTTTTTATTGTATGAAATCTAATTTAAAATAAAATAAAGCATGAAAAATATTTCTAAGAAAATTAAATAATTTTCTCTAATAAATAATTTATAAATTATTATTAAAAAATTAATTTATATTACTTCAACAAAATTAAAAATAATTTAGATAAATATAAATAAAACAGTTTTTAAAAAATAATAAAAAATTTTAAATTGATAATTTAATATTTAATTCAAATGAATATATAAAATATAAAAAAATAATCAATTTATTGAACATAAGAATTAAATTTAAAAAAAACTTTTTTTATCAATCCTTTTTTTTTCAAAAATTTTTCTTTTGTTAATTTTTTTATAAAAGAAAATCAACTCAAAAACATTATATTATTTTAAGTTAACAACCAAATAACAAATTATATAATATTTAACTTACTTAAAAAAACTTATTTATTAAACAAAAAGTCTAGAAATTATATTTTATTTTTTTAGCTTTACTTTTATGAAGAAAAAAAAATATTGGTAATTGATTTACAATAAGCTTACAATATTTTAATATTAACTTTTCAAGTTTTTAATCAGGTCAATATTGATTTATACTTTTTTAAATATTAAAAAGAGTTTTATAATCAATTATTTTTATTAATAAATCAAAATTTACAAGTTCAAAAGAATATCAAATGTTCTTAAGAACTAAATAATTAAATATCCTAATTAATTAAATATTATAAATTAAATATTAAAACAAATTATATAAATATAAATACTATATATTAATTAGTAGTAAACATTAAAACAATACAATAAAATTCATTAATATTTTATAAATAAAGTAATCCAACTTTTACAATAAAAAAAAATTAACAGCTTCTCTAATAAAATTGAAACAATAACTTGTTAACTCTATATTATTTTTTAAAAAATATAAACAAATCAAAATAAATAAATAATAAACAAATCAATAATTTGTTCTTCATTATATATGATTATAAAATAATAAAAATATAAAAAAAAAACTTTTTTTTCACTGATCACCATTTTTCAGAAAATTTTCTTTTTTGATAATTTTTTAAAAAAAAGAAACCAACCCAAAAAAACAAGAGAAAACCAATATCAAAGATCATTCATTTACAAGAAATATTATGGAAAAACTATAGAACCAACTAGTCACAATACAAAAACAGGCAAGTATCTAAAGACTTCTAACCTTTCTACATAAAATTTTTCTTTTTTAGGAAGAACAAACAAAGATAAAAACTGAATCACGGTAAGCACTTAGAAGCCCAACATCAACCTCACAAAGCTCTTAGCCAGAACAGTGTAGGTTAACACCTTTCTAGACATCAAGAAAAACCTTACAAGCAATAATTTAGACCGATAAATCAGTCTAAACTTATATACCCATAAAATTCAGAGAGACATCCAAGTTTTATTGACTGTACAGTAAAGAAGCACATATATTACAACAAACAAATTTCAATAAACACAACGTTATATGAACACATACACATATATT